CATCTGACCTGTTCTGAGCGGCCGTTCTGGGAGATGTTTTCAATAAAAGGAAGCTACGTCCAAACTGCTAAGGAGAACCTTCCAGCCTTCTCTGTTTCCTTCAGGTCGAGTTCCGCAAACCAGAAGTCTGAATTTGGAGAAGGCCGGGGTAGACACCAACCCTGACAGTCAGAAGATCCTGGTGGACGCCCGGGAAGCCACCTCCGTGCCCCACATCTACGCCATTGGAGACGTGGCGGAGGTATGGCCTGTGCCCTGGTGGCAGGGACCCCGACCCCACCCAGCCCCGCTGGGACGCGGGGTCGCACATCCTCTGGCGGCTGCTGTCCTGTGGGAGAGAAATGTTTCTTTCTTCAATCACGGAGGCTCGGAGCCAAAGCCCAGGTGCTGGCAGGGCTCGTGTTCTGAGAAGCATCAGGTGTCAGACTCTGCTCTTTCAGATGCTGCTGCTTTCTGTGGAGGGCGGGTGTGGGACGGCTTCCAAAGGCTGAAAGCACAGTTAGCAAATTCCTGTTGTGAACCTGCTCATGGGTCAGCTCTGCAGGACCGGTCTTGACCTACCCACAGGTGCTCTGGAGGAGCAGAGTCCCAGAAATGTCCCCTCTAGACCCAGCCTTAGGGCCATCCTATCCCCACGGAGCCTGAGCGGCAGGCCCAGTGCAGGCCTACCTGGCCCCACCCGCCTTACCTCAGTTTACCCTCTGGTCTGCTGCCAGCAGTACCTTCCCTGCTAGGCCATCACATGGGGGCAGGGCCTGCCGTGAAGGGGAGACCAGTGTCCATCTCTCCTGGCCAGGGTGAAATCTGGGGAAGGCACTAGGACTCTGGCCCCTGCCCCCCCCCACCCCCGGCATGGCCTGTGGCTGTGGCCACATCCCTGCCTCGCTCGCTCCCTCTCCTGGGAAGCAGGGGCCGCAGCACCTCCCTTTCCAGGCCCTGGTGGAGGCATCCACACAGTGCCTCTCCCCACTTCCTGGGCCCCCAGCAAGAGACCCACTTGGTCAGCCATGAGGCGCCACACTGCACAGCCTCGGGAGCGGTCGGCCAGCCCTGTGTGTGCCCAGCTGTCCTGGGGGAGGTGGCTCAGGTGGCCCCTGGTCAAACGCACCTGAGAGGTGCCTGCAGTCCCCAGGCCTCTTAGCAGTGTGACCTGGCATGTGTGAGTTAGTGTCCTGGGGCTGCCGTAACAAATCACCCAAAACTGGTGGCTTAGAGCAACAGGAATTTATTCTCTCACATTCTGGGGCCAGGCATGGGCAGGGCCACGCTCCCTCAGAAGCCTCTAGGGGAGGGTCCTTCCTGGCCTGTCCCAGCATCTGGTGGCCCAGGTGCTCCCCACTCGTGGCAGTGTCCCTCTGCTCTCTGACCCTCTCCACGTGGCCGTCTCCTAGTGTGCCTGCCTGCACTTGTCTCTGACAGTTGGTCTCACAGTGGATTTAGGGCTCACCCTACTCCAATCTTACCTCATCTCAGTCCTCACCTGAACTACATGTGCAAAGACCTTGTTTCCAGACACAGTCACATCCTGAGGCTCCAGGTAGACATGAATTTGGGGGAATGCTAATCTATCTTCTTTAATGTGTTAATGTACCTTCATTCATTCATTGAGTGTGACATTTTTGAGTATGGGGACAAAGGCAGTAACAAAGTCCCGGGCCCGCAGAGAGGTGACATCCTGGTAGGGGTTATTTCAGATGTTAGAAGATGCTTAGGAGAGACCTGATGGGACTTCCTGAGGGGGCCCGGGCCCAGCCAGTGTCATGCTCCTGGACTGGAGCAGAGGGAGGTCCATGAGGACATTTGTGCCCCCCAGGGTAAATGCAGACACAGCCCTGCCTTGGCTCACCCTGGGACCCACTTTGGGAAATGCCAGGCAGGAGCCTAGGGGGAATGCGAGTCAGTGTCCGAGGTGAGCGAGTCCCTGGTTGGGGCACCCTGGAGCCAAGTGAGCACAGGTGGCAGTGTTAACTGACGTGGAAGGACTGTACCTCCCTCTGCCCCACCCGCCAGGCTCTGCTGAGGCTCATGCTGGGCCAGAGGCTTCGAGATGGTTCAACTCATATATGGAAGTGGGCCAGACAGGGGGCCATGCAAGGCTGGGCCTTCCCTTTGTTTCTGGGGGCCAGCCTGCCCAGCTGGTGAGGGTCAGTACTGCCTGATGCTGGGCCCCATGCAGACCCCTTCTGCTGGGGCAACATGGCCCCTGGTGCCCCCAGCATACCAGAGGGGTCACACACCCACCGTGGCTGCCACTCGAGCCCCATCAGGCCCCCTGTGAACCAGGCTCAGGAAGTGGTGTGTGGACAAAGACGGCAGGGGGCACCCACTGCTGCTGGACACAAGCCCCTGATGCAGCGGTTCTGCGGCTGTGCCAGGCAGAGGCAGAACCATGGGGACAGCTCAGAGGGGGCTTGTGGTGGGAGCTTCAGCCTCTTCCCCAGTGGGTTGACCTGCTTGTGTGGATGGCAGTGATGGCTTCACGTGCCCTCAACTGTCCTGAGGCCTCAGCCCACTTAACTGGCTGGTGTGGTCGTGTAGTGCGACCTCTGCAGGCATGGCCTCTGTCGCATCCTGTGGGCTCTGCACCCGAAGAAAGCACTCATGTTCTTTGCAGAGGAGCATCATGTGCATCACCCCGGGAGGCCTCCCTTCCACCCGCCAGAGTTCCACGGGGTATACAGACGTGCAGCTCCTGGGCTTCAGGGCCCATAACGACGTGATGGAAACTGTAATATTTCAAACTGTGTGGCCAGAAATATATGGCTCGTATGGCATTCTTTATTAGCAAATTAAGCCTACTCAGTTGGAAAGGCCAATCTGAGCAGTCCAAAGAGTTAACATCCTGATGGTCCGGCCAGCACCTGGGAAAAGCCCCGTGGGTGTAGCAGAGGCCATTGTTCCATGAGATATTGTGCGCTGTGCGCCTGGTGTTTCCGCAGTTAGCCAGGCCTGGTGGAATGCACGGGCGCTTTCCCGAGTTTATCTCTGTGGATCTCTATTCATTTCTGGAATGCCAAACAACATCTGCATTTCCTGCTGCAGAGGTGATTGGCAGCTGGTCCCAGGCCGACGCGTGCAGGAGCACTCGAGGCAGGGTACACCCTGGGACGGAGTGGTCTCCAGCAGAGCGACATTCTGACTTGGGATTTGTCATGGGTGTGACGTGCAAGTCTAGCTGCGTGTCAGGAGCACACGGAATGCTTGGGGCCCGTTTTAGCTGGAATCCCAGTTAATGCGAACCGTAGCTTTGGTGCAGTCGTAGCAAATGAGAGCAAACCCACGGAGGGCTGCAGAGGTAGCCTCAAGGGGCGAAGGCTTTCAGCTGCGGTGACAGCTCAGTGGCAAATGGTATTTGGGGGTTTTCAAAAGGGAGATGCCCAGTAGGAAAGAGACAGTGGGGGATGCTGTACAGACTCCCTCAGACCCGGTGCTGATGTCAGTCCCGCTTCCTTCTGTCAGGGGCGGCCCGAGCTGACACCCACGGCTATAATGGCAGGGAAGCTCTTGGCCCAGCGGCTCTTCGGTGGGTCCTCAGACCTGATGGATTACGACAATGTGAGTTCTTTTATAGGACGCCAAGACCAGCCTGAAAAAGGCCAAGGCTAGTTCTTCTGGGGTGAGGGGTTGTGTTCAGGCGGGTGGGCATGTGTGAGCACATGTGCTCGCCTGTATACGTGCATGTGTACAGCGTGTGTGCAGGGGTGTGGTGTGTGTGAACACATGTGCTTGCCTCTGTGTGTGTGTGTGTGTGTGTACAGCGTGTGTGCAGGGGTGTGGTGTGTGTGAGTGCACGTGCTTACCTGTGTGTGTATGTGTGTGTGCAGCATGTATGCAGGAGTGTGGGCATGTGTGAGTGCACGTGCTTGCCTGTGTGTGTATATGTGTGTGCAGCACGTGTGCAGGCGTGTGTGAACACATGTGTTTGCCTGTGTGTGTGTGTGTNTCATTCGTTTTTATAGCTGAGTAGTATTCCATTGTGTAGATATACCACATTCTCCGTATCCCCTCATCTGATGATGGACATTTGGGTTGGTTCTAATCTATCTTCTTTAATGTGTTAATGTACCTTCATTCATTCATTGAGTGTGACTGGGTGCCAGGCACATTTTTGAGTATGGGGACAAAGGCAGTAACAGTGTCCCCACCCACAGAGCCTGGTAGGGGTCATTTCAGATGTTAGAAGATGCTTAGGAGAGACCTGATGGGACTTCCTGAGGGGGCCCGGGCCCAGCCAGTGTCATGCTCCTGGACTGGAGCAGAGGGAGCTCCATGAGGACATTTGTGCCCCCCCATGGAAAGTGCAGACACAGCCCTGCCTTGGCTCACCCTGGGACCCACTTTGGGAAATGCCAGGCAAGAGCCTGGGGGGAATGGGAGTCAGTGTCCGAGGTGAGCGAGTCCCTGTTTGGGGCACCCTGGAGCCAAGTGAGTACAGGGGGCAGTGTTCACTGATGTGGAGGGACTGTACCTCCCTCTGCCCCACCCGCCAGGCTCTGCTGAGGCTCGTGCTGGGCCAGGGGCTTCGAGAGAGCTCACCTCACACATGGAAGTGGGCCAGGCAGGGGGCCATGCAAGGCTGGGCCTTCCCTTTGTTTCTGGGGGCCAGCCTGCCCAGCTGGTGAGGGTCAGTATTGCCTGATGCTGGGCCCCAAGCAGACCCCTCCTGCTGGGGCAACATGGCCCCGGGTGCCCCCAGCATACCAGAGGTGTCACACACCCACCATGGCTGCCACTCGAGCCCCATCAGGCCCCCTGTGAACCAGGCTCAGGAAGTGGTGTGTGGGGCACAGAGGGCAGGACCCAGCAAGAGACCCACTTGGTCAGCCATGAGGCGCCACACTGCACAGCCTCGGGAGCGGTCAGCCAGCCCTGTGTGTGCCCAGCTGTCCTGGGGGAGGTGGCTCAGGTGGCCCCTGGTCAAACGCACCTGAGAGGTGCCTGCAGTCCCCAGGCCTCTTAGCAGTGTGACCTGGCATGTGTGAGTTAGTGTCATGGGGCTGCCGTAACAAATCACCCAAAACTGGTGGCTTAGAGCAACAGGAATTTATTCTCTCACATTCTGGGGCCAGGCATGGGCAGGGCCACGCTCCCTCAGAAGCCTCTAGGGGAGGGTCCTTCCTGGCCTGTCCCAGCATCTGGTGGCCCAGGTGCTCCCCACTCGTGGCAGTGTCCCTCTGCTCTCTGACCCTCTCCACGTGGCCGTCTCCTAGTGTGCCTGCCTGCACTTGTCTCTGACAGTTGGTCTCACAGTGGATTTAGGGCTCACCCTACTCCAATCTTACCTCATCTCAGTCCTCACCTGAACTACATGTGCAAAGACCTTGTTTCCAGACACAGTCACATCCTGAGGCTCCAGGTAGACATGAATTTGGGGGAATGCTAATCTATCTTCTTTAATGTGTTAATGTACCTTCATTCATTCATTGAGTGTGACATTTTTGAGTATGGGGACAAAGGCAGTAACAAAGTCCCGGGCCCGCCGAGAGGTGACATCCTGGTAGGGGTCATTTCAGATGTTAGAAGATGCTTAGGAGAGACCTGATGGGACTTCCTGAGGGGGCCCGGGCCCAGCCAGTGTCATGCTCCTGGACTGGAGCAGAGGGAGGTCCATGAGGACATTTGTGCCCCCCAGGGTAAATGCAGACACAGCCCTGCCTTGGCTCACCCTGGGACCCACTTTGGGAAATGCCAGGCAGGAGCCTAGGGGGAATGCGAGTCAGTGTCCGAGGTGAGCGAGTCCCTGGTTGGGGCACCCTGGAGCCAAGTGAGCACAGGTGGCAGTGTTAACTGACGTGGAAGGACTGTACCTCCCTCTGCCCCACCCGCCAGGCTCTGCTGAGGCTCATGCTGGGCCAGAGGCTTCGAGATGGTTCAACTCATATATGGAAGTGGGCCAGACAGGGGGCCATGCAAGGCTGGGCCTTCCCTTTGTTTCTGGGGGCCAGCCTGCCCAGCTGGTGAGGGTCAGTACTGCCTGATGCTGGGCCCCATGCAGACCCCTTCTGCTGGGGCAACATGGCCCCTGGTGCCCCCAGCATACCAGAGGGGTCACACACCCACCGTGGCTGCCACTCGAGCCCCATCAGGCCCCCTGTGAACCAGGCTCAGGAAGTGGTGTGTGGACAAAGACGGCAGGGGGCACCCACTGCTGCTGGACACAAGCCCCTGATGCAGCGGTTCTGCGGCTGTGCCAGGCAGAGGCAGAACCATGGGGACAGCTCAGAGGGGGCTTGTGGTGGGAGCTTCAGCCTCTTCCCCAGTGGGTTGACCTGCTTGTGTGGATGGCAGTGATGGCTTCACGTGCCCTCAACTGTCCTGAGGCCTCAGCCCACTTAACTGGCTGGTGTGGTCGTGTAGTGCGACCTCTGCAGGCATGGCCTCTGTCGCATCCTGTGGGCTCTGCACCCGAAGAAAGCACTCATGTTCTTTGCAGAGGAGCATCATGTGCATCACCCCGGGAGGCCTCCCTTCCACCCGCCAGAGTTCCACGGGGTATACAGACGTGCAGCTCCTGGGCTTCAGGGCCCATAACGACGTGATGGAAACTGTAATATTTCAAACTGTGTGGCCAGAAATATATGGCTCGTATGGCATTCTTTATTAGCAAATTAAGCCTACTCAGTTGGAAAGGCCAATCTGAGCAGTCCAAAGAGTTAACATCCTGATGGTCCGGCCAGCACCTGGGAAAAGCCCCGTGGGTGTAGCAGAGGCCATTGTTCCATGAGATATTGTGCGCTGTGCGCCTGGTGTTTCCGCAGTTAGCCAGGCCTGGTGGAATGCACGGGCGCTTTCCCGAGTTTATCTCTGTGGATCTCTATTCATTTCTGGAATGCCAAACAACATCTGCATTTCCTGCTGCAGAGGTGATTGGCAGCTGGTCCCAGGCCGACGCGTGCAGGAGCACTCGAGGCAGGGTACACCCTGGGACGGAGTGGTCTCCAGCAGAGCGACATTCTGACTTGGGATTTGTCATGGGTGTGACGTGCAAGTCTAGCTGCGTGTCAGGAGCACACGGAATGCTTGGGGCCCGTTTTAGCTGGAATCCCAGTTAATGCGAACCGTAGCTTTGGTGCAGTCGTAGCAAATGAGAGCAAACCCACGGAGGGCTGCAGAGGTAGCCTCAAGGGGCGAAGGCTTTCAGCTGCGGTGACAGCTCAGTGGCAAATGGTATTTGGGGGTTTTCAAAAGGGAGATGCCCAGTAGGAAAGAGACAGTGGGGGATGCTGTACAGACTCCCTCAGACCCGGTGCTGATGTCAGTCCCGCTTCCTTCTGTCAGGGGCGGCCCGAGCTGACACCCACGGCTATAATGGCAGGGAAGCTCTTGGCCCAGCGGCTCTTCGGTGGGTCCTCAGACCTGATGGATTACGACAATGTGAGTTCTTTTATAGGACGCCAAGACCAGCCTGAAAAAGGCCAAGGCTAGTTCTTCTGGGGTGAGGGGTTGTGTTCAGGCGGGTGGGCATGTGTGAGCACATGTGCTCGCCTGTATACGTGCAGCCAAGGCTAGTTCTTCTGGGGTGAGGGGTTGTGTTCAGGCGGGTGGGCATGTGTGAGCACACGTGCTCGCCTGTATACGTGCATGTGTACAGCGTGTGTGCAGGGGTGCGGTGTGTGTGAACACATGTGCTTGCCTCTGTGTGTGTGTGTGTGTGTACAGCGTGTGTGCAGGGGTGTGGTGTGTGTGAGTGCACGTGCTTGCCTCTGTGTGTGTGTGTGCTGCATGTGTGTAGGGGTGTGGTATATGAGTGCACATGCTTGCCTGTGTGTATGTGAGTGTGTGCAGGCATGTGGGCATGAGTACACATACTTGCCTGTGTGTGTGTGTGTGTGCAGCATGTATGCAGGGGTGTGGTATGTGAGTGCACATGCTTGCCTGTGTGTGTGTGTGTGCATGCATGTGTGCAGGCATGTGGGTGTGTGTGAGTACACATACTTGCCTGTGTGTGTATGTGCATGTGTGCACGCGTGCGTGGTTTAGAGCCTAAAGTGCAGCCCAGGAGTAGGTGAGTGAGCCTGGCCGCAGTGCTTGCGGCCTGCCAGCCAATGTGTCTGGGGACCTGGCCTGCACTCACTGCTCTTTGTGTCCCACAGTGGGGACCTTCAGTTTTGGGGCCTGGGTGGCACACCTGACTCTGGACCTGCCTTCCAGGTTCCCACGACGGTCTTCACTCCGCTGGAGTACGGCTGTGTGGGGCTGTCAGAGGAGGAGGCCGTGGCTCGCCACGGGCAGGAGCATGTTGAGGTGAGTCAGCGGGAGGAGAGGGGCTGCCAGCAATGCCACCTGTGCGGCCCGCACCCCCACTGATAGCCCCTCCCTGGACAGGGGCCCTGTGAGCAGGGGTGTCAGTGTCTCTGCTTTCCAGGGCCTGCGCTTGACAGGCTGGGCAGTGGGGCCCAGAACAATGGCTGTGGTGCAGCAGGAAGTGACCCACAGGACGGGAATGTTGCAGGGCAGCTCCAGAAATGAGGGAAGGCCAAGGCCTTGGGCAGCCTTTGGGGCATGGCCGAGCCCTGGCTCCTCTGCACCCAGCGGCCACCTGTCTCCATTTGGTAGCAAGGGGAGGGCCTGGGCTGCCCTGTGGGCCCAGGAGGCACCAAGGAGAGGCCCCGTCCTCCAGCTGCCTCTGGCCCCATCCCAGCCATGCTGTAGGCATGCCCAGAGCCCTCAGGTCCCCACCATCATACCACTAGCCTCCCTGCCGGGGTCTCAGGACCACCAAATGCCAGCCCCATGTCAGCATGCAGACTGCTTGTCACCAAAGGCACCAGGCTTGCCTCTGTGTGTGTGTGTGTGTGTGTACAGCGTGTGTGCAGGGGTGTGGTGTGTGTGAGTGCACGTGCTTACCTGTGTGTGTATGTGTGTGTGCAGCATGTATGCAGGAGTGTGGGCATGTGTGAGTGCACGTGCTTGCCTGTGTGTGTATATGTGTGTGCAGCACGTGTGCAGGCGTGTGTGAACACATGTGTTTGCCTGTGTGTGTGTGTGCAGCATGTGTGCAGGTGTGTGGGCATGTGTGAGTGCACGTGCTTGCCTGTGTGGGTATGAGTGTGTGCAGCACGTGTGCAGGCGTGTGTGAATACACGTGCTTGCCTGTGTATATGTGTGTGTGTGTGCGGGCGTGTGGGCATGTATGAGTGCAGTGCTTGCCTGTGTGTGTATGTGCGTGTGTGCAGCGTGTGTGCAGGCGTGTGGGCATGTGTGAACGCACGTTCTTGCCTGTGTGTATGTGAGTGTGTGCAGGCATGTGGGCGTGAGTACACATACTTGCCTGTGTGTGTATGTGCGTGTGTGCACACGTGTATGGTTTAGAGCCGAGAGTGTGGCCCAGGAGTGGGTGAGTGAACCCAGCCGTGGTGCTCGTGGCCTGCCAGCCAGTGTGTTTGGGGACCTGGCCTACACTCACTGCTCTTTGTGTCCCACAGTGGGGACCTTCAGTTTTGGGGCCTGGGTGGCACACCTGACTCTGGACCTGCCTTCCAGGTTCCCACGACAGTCTTCACTCCGCTGGAGTACGGCTGTGTGGGGCTGTCAGAGGAGGAGGCCGTGGCTCGCCACGGGCAGGAGCATGTCGAGGTGAGTCAGCGGGAGGAGAGGGGCTGCCAGCAATGCCACCTGTGCGGCCTGCACCCCCACTGATAGCCCCTCCCTGGACGGGGGCCCTGTGAGCAGGGGTGTCAGTGTCTCCACTTTCCAGGGCCTGCGCTTGACAGGCTGGGCAGTGGGGCCCAGAACAATGGCTGTGGTGCAGCAGGAAGTGACCCACAGGACGGGAATGTTGCAGGGCAGCTCCAGAAATGAGGGAAGGCCAAGGCCTTGGGCAGCCTTTGGGGCATGGCCAAGCCCCGGCTCCTCTGCACCCAGCGGCCACCTGCCTCCATTTGGTAGCAAGGGGAGGGCCTGGGCTGCCTCGTGGGCCCAGGAGGCACCAAGGAGAGGCCCCGTCCTCCAGCTGCCTCTGGCCCCATCCCAGCCATGCTGTAGGCATACCCAGTGCCCGCAGGTCCCGACCATCGTACCACTAGCCTCCCTGCCGGGGTCTCAGGACCACTAAGTGCCAGCCCCATGTCAGCATTCAGACTGCTTGTCACCAAAGGCACCAAGGCCCGGGCACCTCTGTGGCTGTACCCCTCACAGGGGCATGCATCTCCCTCAACCTGGAAAGGCTTCTCCTGGCTGTCCTGTGACCTCTGCTCCCCTCCACTCTTGCCCTCCTGCCCCAGGCTGGGCCCATCCTTCCCCCCGCCACTGCACCTCTGCTTTCCTGCGACTCCCCAGGGGTTCTGACACGCACGACCCCCTGACCTGCCCCAGCCCATGCCCCAGTCCTCTTCCACGTTTCTTCCAGTCCTCACAGGCTCCCAACAGTCCACACTTGGGCGCTTAGCCCAGAGGAAGTGGGTTTTCACTGGGCAAGGCTGCTTGTTGGGGTCCGCTTTGGCAGGCGGGCCGTGGCCCCGGCCTGGAGGGCTGCTGGGAGGCTTTGATGCCTGCAGGGCTGGGGTGCTGGGAGCCTTGGGCGGGCTTGTCTTGCTGCTGCAGCAGCTTGCAGGCGCCCAGGAGAAACCAGACCCCGTGCACCCTGGGTGGTGGGGCCGGTGCCATTTGGGAATGAGTCACTGGTCTCCAGGGCCTGTCCCTTCCCCAGAACCCCAGTCCCCTCCATCAGTAGGACGGTCTGACGGCTGGCCTTCCCTGAGGCACTTTATTTGCTATTTTTGTTTGATTCATCACAAGGACATGGGACATATGGCCATAGCATTTTATAATGCTGTTTTATGTTTCACGATGTTGAATGGCCAAATACTCTTTGTTTGTTTTCTTTTCAATTCTGTCTTAGTTAGAACAATATTCTCTGAAGCGCCATTAATTAATAATGGCTGTGCGGCACATGTGAGGGCCCGGTCATTTTTTACTCTGCCGCAGCCCCGAACACACTGTCGAGCCCTTCACGAGTGCTGAAAGCCTTTGTCCGACAGCTCTGGTGTAGCCAGCGGCCGCCCTGCGCCTGCCCCCTCCTTGTTGCTCAAGCGAGGGCCGAGCAAGTGCCAGGGTGCCCGAGGGAGGCTGGATGGCCGCCCACCAACCTATTCCTGCCCCATCACATGGGCCAGGCACCCCGCCTTCCAGTGCCTGTAGTCGCCCCATCCACTATGCAGTGGTCGACAACGAGGAAGGTGCAGGTGTGGTCTGTGTCCCTGTGTGTGCTTCAGATGGGGGGGGCCAATGCCCTGCCCCGAGCCTTGGGCTCTGCGGTGTGGCATGGCGGGGGTTACATGGGTAGCCTTGTGCCCACTCTGTGGCTATAGTTATGGGGGTTTCCGGCTGGGCGAGAGAAGGTCCGTCCTGCACACAGGCTCCAGCCACTGGCTGCCTGTGCATCAATAGGGGGACGCTCTCCATGGCTAGCAAGCCAAGTCCTCACCCCAGACCAAACGTGCAGACCAAATGGGATGTTCTGGGTCCCACTGCAACCCTACCCTGCCCCTGAAGCCTGTCAGAGCAGCAAGACACCCATGGGACTCGTTTTGCTGCAGCTACTGGCTCCAGAAACTGGCGTCTTGTCACCTAGGTTTATCATGCATATTATAAACCACTGGAGTTCACCGTGGCTGAAAGGGATGCATCCCAGTGTTACATAAAGGTGAGTGTTTTTGTGGGTCCAGGGCTGGGGCAAGTCAGGGGTGATGAGGAGGAAGGAAGGGAGGGAAGGAGCCAGAGGCAGCAGGGGTGTGGTGCCTCCAGAGCAAGAAGTGTGAATGTTGGGCCACTCGTGTCCCCAGGGCAGCCTGGGTCCCCCTCCCAGGCTGTGCTGAGATGCTGTGACTTTCAGATGGTGTGCCTGAGGGAGCCCCCACAGCTGGTGCTGGGCCTGCACTTCCTTGGCCCCAATGCAGGGGAAGTTACTCAAGGATTTGCTCTGGGGATCAAGTAAGTCTGGAGGAATGTCGGCCGGTACGAGATGCTCAGACTGGGCGTCCCTCTGCGTGTTAGCAGCACTGCACTGGAAAGCCCGATGCATTTCTCTTGATTTCATGTGGCCTTCACATGTTTTCAGCAGAGTCTTCAGGCTCCTCCTAGACGTGGCAGGTTCAGTCGGGGGAGAGACAGCTTTTTTCTCCAGCCAAACACTGTTAAGCCAGAGCCATGCAGGGTGTCCACTGTGGCCAGGCCGCCTGGGGGGAGGGGTGGTGCTGTGGTTCTGGGGAGCAGGGTTGGGGCCCTCGCTCACCAGGCAGAGCCCTCAGGGTTTGTCACAAATGTTCCAAGAGAGCCACTCTGGAGTAGCCACGTATCTTACAGACCTTGGGCCATTGCCTGGGTCTTGGGCTCAGGTTGTGAGTTTTCAGGGTCCTGGGGCCAAATGAGCCCATGGCAAAGACTCTGGGTGGGGAGGGTTGTCCAGGGCAGTGGGAAGTTGGGAAGTTGGGCATGGCCTGAGAGAGAGGCAGCTGGGCATGGGGTTTCAGAGGCAGGAGGCCAGGGCAGGGACGAGCCATCTATGGGTGAAGCAGAGTCGAGGGCATAGGGAGGGGCTGAACACGTAGAGGACGGTGTGCAGGTGGCTGGGGCCCCTGTGTGTTTGGGGTGTATGGGTGTGACCAAGAGTTGACCTTGGGGGCAAGAGGTCTAGGGACAGAGAAAGTCAGGGAAAGGGCGGGGCAGAGGAGCAGGGCCAATCTCAGAAAGGCTGTTGAGGTGCTACACAGGCAGGATGGAGGGTCCGGGCCAGGCTCCCAGGGCACCCCAGTCTCCTCCCAGGCAGCCTGGCACTTGGATGGGGGCCACCCTATCACAGGGCAGCTAACCTCAGACCCCACCACAGCCGTCCTAGCCCTGCACACATGTTGAGGCAATCACTGGGTTGTAGGAGTCAGGTTCTCCCAGGGAGGGTCTCAGAGGAGAGGAGGGAGGGCTGGGTGCAGGGTGGGCTCATGTCCTTGAAACACGTGTCTATTATCCCTAAACTGCAGAGCCATCTGTAGCAGAGATGTTTGGAAGCTCGGTCCAGAGTGACCATTGGAAGGAAGCCCGTGAGCTTGGTACTGGCTCTGCTGAGAATCCTACTGGAGCCCATTGAGGGGCAGGGTCCACTCTTGGTGCAAGGAGAGGGTTGGGGGTGACCCTGGGAACCTGGCCCACTGACCTGTGTGTGAGTACTGGCAGGCTAGGCCATCCGTGGCAATAGCTCTGGCCAGAGAGTTCTCTGGCTGGCACAGGACAAAGAGAGACCTGGCCCCACACAAGGCCATCGCCATCCACATACTCTGGCACACAAATGCTATTGCCAGGCCTGACACTCAGCTTCCGGAACAACTTTTGGAAAGATCCTTTAAAATGTGGCAGCCTCATTTTATAATGCAGCTATAGAGGACTGGATTCCTTAATATGTAGAGAGATCTTAAAAATCAACAGTAATAATTTTAGAGCAGACAACCAAATAGAAAAATAGAGAACATGAATAGGCAGTTCACAGGGAAGAAAATCATAGTAAATAGTAGAAAGCTGCTGTGCCGCGGGAATTCACAATTTAGAATTTTAAAATGTAGAAAACACCAAGGAAGCATTTTGGCTGATGAGGATCAAAAGGTTTGATGTTGTCTAGTAGCGATCATTTCCCAGTGTCTGCACGGTGGCGACACTGAAAGTTTTCCAGTCAGTGGAGTGACGAGACTGATGTTTCAAATATGGTCAGGAGGAGGGTGTGGACTGGACCCGCCCACTGGGGACCTTACTTGAAATGCACACACCCATTTGTTCAAGTTAGGAATTTACCCACCAGATGTTCCAACACACGTGTACAGCGTGTACATGGACACAAGAAGAGCTGCCTGTGGCAGCCTCGTCTGCTGGCAAACAATGGGAGCTGTGGCCATCTGTGCCCTGCGGGACGTCCACATGTGCTGTGATATGGTGCATGCTGAGCCTGTGTGGTGGTGCCACGGACTCATGTAGAACCTGGAACACCCACAGCAGCCCTTAGCGGGTAGACTCTTGGCAGCTGGACCAGGGAGCCTGGGTGGGGGCCAGATCTCAGGAAGTCAGGAGGGGGGCTGGGGAGCGGAAGGCCTGGAGGCTGTTCCTCAGCAGGCCAGCGGCAGGGCCAGACCAGACCCCTCACTGCTGCACCACCATTCACTCGCTGTGTGCAGCAGGATGCCAGGCTCTGGACACAGTCGCCCACAGAGCAGCAGCTCCCTGCCCGATGCAGCAGGTGCTTGGGGCTCGGATGCTCTGCCACCACCTATGAGAAGTGCTGGGTGCTGAGCAGGGCCAGACAGGTGGCCGGACGGTGTTGGCTGCAGTAATAAGAAGTGGCCTCTGGCTTGCTGGGGCAGCTGATTTGAGCTGTGCCTTGAGGGAGTGAGGGAGCGGGCCCAGAGAAGGATCAGCCTGAGCTGCAGCCCAAGGCGGGACTGTGCCTGGTGGGCTCAGAGCATCAGGAGACCAGGCCATGGTGAGCCAGGGAGGGTAGGCAGTGGGCTGGAGCGGGGTGCTGCTTGGCCTCTGTGGGCACTGGGCATTTGCTGGGAGGGAGGTGGACAGGTCCAACATGCGTGTCGGCAGGTGTTCTGGCCACTGGCTGGAGAAGAGGTCAGGGGACAGTGAGACCAGGTGACTCCCAAGGCCCTTCCCTTCCCAGGGACAGGGTAGTGTGGACGCACTTCCCTGCGCTGACTCCTTGCCTGACTCCCCCACCGCCTGTGTGCAGGTGCAGGGCCTCCTATGCACAGGTGATGCGGACGGTGGGCATCCACCCCACCTGCTCTGAGGAGGTGGTCAAGGTGCGCATCTCCAAGCGTTCCGGTCTGAACCCCACCGTGACGGGCTGCTGAGGGTAAGCTGCCATCCCTGTCAGGCCAAGGGCATGTGACATGCAGCCCCTCACCGCCAGGCTCCTCAGAGGCCCAGATCCAGGTATGTAGGTGGGTTAGGCTCTGTGTTTGAGGACAGAGCATGTGGCTGAGGGGTGTGAGAGCTACTTGATGGGCTCCCTCCAGATGTGTGGCAAGGCTACACCTGCCAAGCCACCTTGAATAGGTTTGCTCTGTGCCCTGTGCCCAGGACATGGTGGCCAAGAAGCAGGAGGTGTCAAGAGGCTGGGCTCACATGGCAGCAGCCTGTCCCAGGTGGACACTGGCGTGGTAGGCTGAGCGGACAGTCTCAGTGCTGCTCCCAGTGGGCGGTAGTGGGGAAGCTGGCCTTCCCTCCGTCCTGTCTCATGCAGAGTGCCAGCAGGTCTGCCCAAGGTCTTGTGGACGCACTTCCCTGCGCTGACTCCTTGCCTGACTCCCCCACCGCCTGTGTGCAGGTGCAGGGCCTCCTATGCGCAGGTGATGCGGACGGTGGGCATCCACCCCACCTGCTCTGAAGAGGTGGTCAAGGTGCGCATCTCCAAGCGCTCCGGTCTGAACCCCACCGTGACGGGCTGCTGAGGGTAAGCTGCCGTCCCTGTCAGGCCAAGGGCATGTGACATGCAGCCCCTCACCACCAGGCTCCTCAGAGGACCAGATCCAGGTATGTAGGTGGGGTAGGCTCTGTGTTTGAGGACAGAGCATGTGGCTGGGGGGTATGGGAGCCACTGTGATGGGCTCCCTCCAGGTGTGTGGCAAGGCTACACCTGCCAAGCCACCTTGAATAGGTTTGCTCCGTGCCCTGTGCCCAGGACATGGAGGCCAAGAAGCAGGAGGTGTCAAGAGGCTGGGCTCACATGGCAGCAGCCTGTCCCAGGTGGACACTGGCGTGGTAGGCTGAGCGGACAGTCTCAGTGCTGCTCCCAGTGGGCGGTAGTGGGGAAGCTGGCCTTCCCTCCGTCCTGTCTCATGCAGAGTGCCAGCGCCGGCTCATGTTCCTCTCGCCCAGAAGGTGGAGACGCTGCCTCACACACGGCTGGCCACCGCCCCGCAGATCTGCTTCTGTTGTAGCTTTGTGATGCCTGGCAGCAGGGCGGGTGGCAGAAGCCTCAGAAGCATGGTGGTCATCACAACCCTCTTCTGAGGAAGAAATGAGCGAGTCCCTCCCTGACCCCAGCCAAGGGCTGCATGTGGCCAGAGCCTTTCACCTCTCAGACTAACAGAGCAGCCTCAAGCCTCAGCAGCCGGGCTGGGTTCCTGGGGCAGGCAGGCCCTTGGGCCTGTGTGTCTCAGCCCACCTGGGGGTTTCCCTTGTGGCCATCAGCCCCTCCTGGGGTTGGGTTCCTTTGGGACCCCCTCTTTCCTGGGGCTGAGCAGTGAGATCTCCCTTGAGACGCCTGTGGGTCCTGCAGGTGCAGGCCCAGGCCTGGGGCCCCCCACGCACTCTGGATACCCTGTTCCACCATGGCCACCCGAGCCAGGGCTGCCTCTAATATGGACAAACAAAGGGCATCCTGAGGAAGCTCTTATCAGAATATTACACCTAACAGAGCTGTTTCGTTAGGAGTCTGCTATACATTTTTATCATTTCAAAATATTTTTGTAGGCTGCAGTGCTCCCTGTGATGCATGGACCACGGGGTGGGGGACCACTCAGCAGGGGCTCATTTCTCACCTATCCCTTGAAGGTCTGTGTGTGTGGCCATGGGAGACATGGCCAGGCAAACATGAGGGATGGCGTGGCCACCCCGCACTGACCCCGCCCATTGTCAGCAGGACTGTCGTGGGCCAGGCCCAGTGAGCCTCAGCCCCTCCCCTGGAGAGCCCGTGAAGTGGTCAGCATGGAGCCACGTGTGTGTGGACAGACAGCATGTGCCCTGCAGGGACGGCTCAAGGGGGTTGCACCCCCACATCTGCACCTCCCACCCCCCCCCCCCCNGCCCATTGTCAGCAGGACTGTCGTGGGCCAGGCCCAGTGAGCCTCAGCCCCTCCCCTGGAGAGCCCGTGAAGTGGTCAGCATGGAGCCACGTGTGTGTGGACAGACAGCACGTGCCCTGCAGGGACGGCTCAAGGGGGTTGCACCCCCACATCTGCACCTCCCACCCCCCTCCCACCTGGGCCAGCCCCCCAGGCCCCCGATGCCAGATGATGACGGCCTGGGCAGAAGCCCACCCTGTGGGCTGTCCATGTCCGAGCCCCCCTGGTGTTGCTGGAGTGCAAATAAAGAGGGTGTTTCCTGAAGCGTGTTCTGCCTGTGCTGTCCCTGAGGTGCCTACCAGGATTGCCCAGGCAGGGTGGGGTCTGCTCCCCCCCCACCCCCTTGGGGAACAGGAGCAACTTCTAAGACTTGATGGAGAAGGGATGCCTGGGTCACCCAGACAGTCGGGATCATCCGAGTTCCCAGGCAGCCTCGGGCAGACCTGGTCCTTCCTACCCCAGGCAGGGAGCAGGGCTGCCACCCCGCCCCCACCCTGCAGCTGCCTGGCCTCAAGCACGAGGACCCCCACCTGGGGATCCCTCCCAGGACCCTGTGCCCCGGTCACCCCTGAGGTCTCTGCTCCTCGAAGCAAGGACAGCGGCAGAGCTCCCGCGGGTGCTCGGGAGGGGCGGGCAGCGACAGGCTGTGTTCCAGGGCAGCCGCCAGCGGTGTGGCAGAACGACGGGCATTGCAGGGCTGTTTGAGGCTTTCTGTCCCTGAATGTCAGTTACCTCATTACGTTTCCGTCGTGGCCCTGCAAGTCAGCTTGTCGGCTGTGCTTAGGCTAATCCTGCACATTGAGGCCTGATGGGCCAAGGCAGCTCCTGTCAGTCACCGCGCGAGAGACAGCGCTGACAGCCACGGGCAGGGCCCGGCATTGTGCTGGGGCTTTAGCGGCAGCTAATCTCGTGTCTTCCTTAAGAAAACATCACTTAGTCTGCCGGCCCGGGAGCCCTGGCTGGGACCCTGCTTGTCAGCAAACAAAGGAATGTCTTTGCACCTTAACGGGCCCACAGGAGGCTCGCTCACGGTGGCGGTGGCGGTGGCGGTGCGAAGCGTGTGCGGGAGCTCTCAGACGCCCAATTAAGATGCCAAGTGCTGGNGGTGGCGGTGCGAAGCGTGTGCGGGAGCTCTCAGACGCCCAATTAAGATGCCAAGTGCTGGGCCGGGCCAGGCCTCCCGACAAGTGCAGCGCCAGATCAGCCGTGTCCCATTTAACGCACGGCTGGTGGCGCACCCCGGCCGTGGATCCTGCAGTGAGTACTTCGCCTCCAGGCCAGGCTGAGGTTTTCGCCTGCCTTGGAGGCAAAGGATGAAGGTGTGCAGAGGTAGCTGACAGCTGCTGCCTGGGCCCGGCAGGGGCGTCCTGTGGATTTCTCAGCCCTAGGAACAGCCCCTGCCGTGGGGCAGACAAGGAACTTGAAATGGCCTTGTTGCTTTTGGTGATGATAGAAATGCCACATCCTATGTGGGAGTCCTCAGTACACCCAGCAGCTCTCTGGGGCAGGGCCTTTTGTTTCCCTGCCCACCCAACTGGCCAGGAGTCCCCATCACTGGCAGCCAGAGTGGCGCCCACACGTCTGTGTCCCCACAGCCCCTCCAAGTGGTTTTCTGTGCATGCCCCTTTTCTCCAGAACAGATCTCACACTGGCGCACCTGCTGTTTGTAACCTGCTCTCAGCT